GTGATGGGCCTTCAGAGAGTTCTGTGGTATCTCAGAGTTTTATTACTCTTCAGAGTTCTTACCTGGTACAAAAAAGTAAACATGACTTTTCCCTCCTGAAGGACTTAACAAGTTTTGATTGTAACCATTTACCTAAAATACGCACATTACTAGGAGATTTTATAGGCTATTGCTGGATTCTTGTACGTAAGAGAGTCTTTGGGGCCAGCAGATGGCATGGTGGTAAATGTGCTGGACTCCCACATGACTGACCATGGCCTGGTCCCGGCGGTTTGAAAATCACACTGGGCATGTGTGCTCACTTGCCCAAAATCCTAGGAGGAGAAGGGATTGAGGCCTGGCCATCCCTCCTGGAGAGCGATTTCTCACTTTTCCCTCTCACTGTTTCTCTCCGGCAGAAGCATGTACTCTATGGCAAAAACCTTTAAAAAGAAAAAAAAAAAGAAACTTTGAACATCCAGCTTGCGTTATTCATTCCTTTTCTTACTAAAACATACGAGTAGCTTGCTTAGATATGTATTTGATAAATACTAGAGGGAGTCTTTTGAAATGCAGTGTGTTGGCCACTCTTCTAACTCTGCAGAAATATGGTTTCACAGTAAACTCAACAAAAGCTCATTGGCAGTAGTCCAGAAGCTGACTCACCAAGGAGTAATGACAGACACTGAAGGGAATGACCTAGCCCAGAATCATATTTCAAAGCTTTATGCTATGATTACATCAGTAAAAGGCAGCCAAGAAATCAAGATGAGATCTTTGTCCGTCCTAGAAGTAATGGTACATAGGCAGGAGCTTCCACGGTAGTATGCAAGTAGATTTTTCTTCCAATTTTGTCAAACTTGTGGGTGGCCAAGGGAACGGGTTGAAGATTCAGAATGGTGGTGACAGTTGTGGGACTGCAGTGTTGTTTCCTTCTTTAGCCTTATAGTGACTAAGGGTTAACTCACGAAGCTCAATGCCGTATCAGTTTTCTAGAGCTAAGGGAATATACTTAGCTCAGTAGTAAGCACAAGTATCATGTTCATGTCAGACACTGTAGCTACTGTTTCCGACTTGAACAGAGCAGAAGAAACCAAAGTAAGACCAGAATCACTTCACTTTTGAGGAGCAGACCCTTTGCCTATTAGTGCATTATATATTTTATGAGTAAAAATAATATGAAAATGGACTTGCTTCAGTACTGTGAAATAGACACTGTGATTGTTATAGCGGACTAGAGTGATTGCAGCTCCATTTTAAATCCAATTTCGTAACTGTAAGTTTTTCTTTTTTCTTTCTTTTTTTTTTTTTTTTTTGTGAAACTCTATTTGCATAGATTTTTCTAAGTGACAGATTACTCACTACCAAAGATTACTTACGTTTTGGTCTTATGTGGAAATAGCTGGAGTATGCTTTTTTCATGTTACTGAAGGTTGTCTCAGAGATAAGAAAACAAAATAATCTGAAAATATTTTTTAGATATAAGGCTAAGTGAATATGCTACAATGATAGATTGGCCCACATTGATTATTCTAGAACTTTCTTGGTAATAAGTGTTAAATGTGATGGTACTTTACTGTAGAATATTGTGGAGAATTGCTTTCAGCTGTTTGTTGTATTCTTTTGAGCATATTTAGGAATGAAAAGTTAGTTTTCATAATACTGTCATTTAAATAAGCTTTCTCTAGGATGTTTCTCAAATGTTAAAAGTGCTTTTCTTGAGGCCAGCAGGTGGCGTAGCAGTTAAGACAGTGGACTTCCACATGGCTGACAGTGGTTCAAGTCCCAGACCTGACGTCTTGATAATCACATGGGGTGGGTGTGCCTGGGTATCCAAAATCCCAGGAGGGGAATGGAGAAGGGATTGTGGCATGGCCACTCCCTGTGGGGGGTGATTTCTCATGTCCTTCTCACTGTCTCTCTCTGCCAAGCACATGCACCCAAATGGCAAAAATCTTAAAAAAAAAAAAAAAGCCATTAATTATTTAAATTGTCAGAGGATAGGTGCACCTGCTGGGGGTGGGGAAGGAGAAAGCACCTTCCCAGTTCCCAATGGGGTGTGGACACCTCCATTTTTCCATTCTTTTGGGGCACACATGCACAAGTGCCTGGCATGTTTTTCACCCAGCTGGGTCAGGATTTGAACCATATTTGGCTATGTTGGCTCTGATTCCCATAACCAGTTGGCCTGTAGGGCTAACCCTAAAGTACTTTTCTTTAAGAGATGTTACTTTTTGATGTTGTATAATTTGAGAATAGATTCCCTCTCTCCTCCATGTACCAGTGACCCAGACCTGGTTTCATAGCACTGAGAGGAAAAAAAAAAAATAGTAGTTTGTGCTTTTCTGCCTTTTTGAGGTAGAGTGCTTTGGTATTGGCCCTTTTTGTTTTTGATTTGGCCTTTAACATGCTATTCCTACTTCATTCTTACATGGTTTAAACTTGGACCTGTAAATTATTTATTAGCTAACTTTATGACTTAGGCAAGTTACTTTATCTCCCTGCGCCTTAGTTTCCATTTTTGTAGAATGAGGGTAATATTATTGCCTACCTTGTAGGGTTGTTACAAGGTTAATGATGAATAACTGGCGAAGCACTTAGAGTGTTCTATGCGTTGGTAGCAAGAAACTTGACTTCTCCCATACACTGTTTGCAGCCCTTCATTTTATAATTTTTCCCTGGAGAATATAACTCTTTGAATTTAGTATAACCTCGTGTTAAGAAATAATAAACGACATATATTTAATTTTTGTCATACTCATACATTTGCTGCTTGTTAAAAATGGAGTATTTTTTTGAGCTTTGAGGATTAAAATTAGTAGAAAGTGATTCCTTTCGTGTATCTTCTAGGTGCGTATGTACTACTGAATGTAGGTCATTGTTCGCGTTGAAAGTTCTAAGAGTACATCTGGATCTAGTGCAGTTATGTAGAACAAGATGGTTTGCATGGGACTGCAAGTACCAGAAAGATAAAAACTGTAGTTGGTAGCAAATTGTGTCAGTTAAACTGAGTCATGGATCAGCAGAGAACTTGGGGTTGCTGTTTTTTGTTTAACACTCAATTGACTTGAATTGATTAACTCTGAAAAAGTAATTTAAAACCTAGATATACTAGAAAATTCTAGATTCCTTTCCACTTAAAACAAACAAACAAACAAGCAAACAAAAAAACCCGGGACCAGCAGTTAGCATAATGGCTATGTCACTGGACTCCCATGTAGTTGACTGTGGCTCGAGTCTTGGACCCGGTGGCTTAAACTCACTCTAGGTGCGTGTGCATACCCCAGGATCTCGAGAGGAGAATGGAGGAGACCGGATTGCGGCGTGGCCATCCGGGGGTGATTTCTCACTTTCTGTCTCTGTCACTCTCTGCCTTTCTGGTGAGCAAACACGCCCTATAGCAAAAACCTCTCCAAAAAACCCCCCAAAACAGAAAACAAACCTCGTTTGAAGAAGGAAGCTTTTCTCCAGAGATACTTCGCTCCCTGAATGCTGCATGACCTTCAGCCATTGCTGTGGTGGCATACGATGGTCTACTGTAGGAGTGTTACGCTCTACTTTAGTTTCAGATTTGTGACATTGTTGAGTACAGATTGTTTTAATTGATAGAGGGCGCGTGCTCTCATCAGAGAGAAGATGGAGAAAGAGGGAGAGGGAGAAAGCAGCCCCTGTGGGGTGTGGCCATGCCGCAATCAAGTCTTCTATTTCTTCATTCTGTCTGAATTTTGGGTACATGTGCACATGTATCTGGAGTGTTTTTCAAGGCTTTGGGGCTGGGATTTGAACTGCGGTTGGCCAAGTGAGACGCAGCTCCTTTAACCTCTAGGCCATGGGGCTGGGCCTATTGAATACATTTTAAGAATGAAATTGCCTTTTTTTTTTTTTTTCTAAATATCACATATTAAATACCACCCATTAAATTGAGCTTTGTACCTCTTTTCCTTTGTTTCCCAGTGATAGGATTTCTCTGTAATTATAGGTCAGTGGTTTGGTTCCAGGGGTTAGGTGTTCTTATTTTTTTACATGTATTGCTAATTCTTCATTTTATATATATATTTATGTATATATATATATTAATATGAAGAGATTTCCTTCAAATATTTAATTTTATAAGTAAAAGAAATATTCACTGAATTTGCTTTTGTTTTTGAGATCCTTGAATTTAATTCATGAACTCAAAATTTAAGTTAACTTGTGGATAGTGACAAATCATTGCATTTAGTTATTCAGAGAGGCTTTTCCTCCTTCCTCATTTTATGGCGGGCTTAGTTGTATGCCAGGATGGGCTGATTTTGTGCCTATCCCTGTTGGAGTACTGACTGGCATAAAAGGATTGGCATTTAACACAACGGCCAGTGGGCACTTTTCACTGATACTGATATAAAGAGGACACTCAAGCTGTCAGTTTCTTTTGGGGTTGTGAAGCTGGGACTGCCTCCAGCGCTTTCCCTGCCCAAGGCAGGAGGTCTGTCTGCAGTGGGAGAGAATGAGGCCAAACAAATAAAGAGGAGCATGAGATAAAGAGATGGATCCAGTAGCTGAGCCTTTGAGCCTCTGGGGCCTGAAGTTCCACCTTTGTTTCTGTGCATCACCTCAGTATCTTTTGAGGCAATAATAGAGTTCTTTCACTTAGAATCACTGCCTTGTCTGACTAATTCTATTTCTGCAGTGGACTTTAACCTCAGCAAATTTAATATACATAGGTAGTAAACTCAGTTCTTGTATGAATTAACATTTGGAATCAGTGAAGTAAAAATACTAAAATATCTTAAATTTATCAGTGTTTTTTTGCTTAGAGGAAAATGTTTATAATGGGTACAGATTGGATCAGCATTCCTTTCTATCTTTTTGTGCTTATACAGTATAGATGCTTCTTTTAAAGAGTTTATCACCATAGTAAGTATAAGAGCAAAGGTGCAAATTCAGAGACTAATCATACTTTTACTGAGTATGCATAAATATCTTCTTACTATTTTCTTACATAGTAGCTGTGCTAATCATGCGAAAGCAACAGACATGAGAAGATGAAGAGGTGAAGTGTAAATGTTAAGTGTTAATGAACCATGAGTACTTGCTTTAGATTCCATGGCTTGCCTGCTTCTGGATTAGGTGGTAGACTCCTGAAAAATGAATTGATGAAAAAGATGAATACATTTGAATTGGTTTTTTTTTTTTTCAGGCTGAGGTTAAGGTCAATGTGGTTAATTAGGTATTAAGAGCAGCTTTCCTACCTTTTTAATAAGCTGTTGGCATTAGGTTGTCTTGGAAAATCTGGTTCTTTTATTACTTGGCTCTAATTGCTTGGAGGTGACACATTAGTGAGAATAAATGGTGAGTACTCAAACTTTTGTAATTGTTATTTGGGAATCCTTTGATGAGTGGGACTAATTTGTAGGAACTACAGGGAATATGAAAAACTTTTTAAGTATTCCAGTCTCAAAAATAAATTTGACCATTGGCAAGAATGTGGTTAAGCCAAGTATTTGAGGTTTCTTTGCTACACTCTTCAACTTTTAGCCTAGTCTGTTTGCCATATGTTAAGTTGAAATTTCCACTGATGGTTCACTGTGGGTTAAATGCAGTTTCTTATGGAGCTCCATCAAAAGGCTTGTAGTTATTCAGGATCTTCATGGTTACCCCTAAAGCATATATTCCAAGTTTAAATTTACAGTATCCCAAAACATGGTTCCACTACTTTTTATTGTTGTTGTTGTTTTGAGAAAGACTTTTGCTATAGGGCCTGTGTGCTTGCCAAAGAGACAGAGAGACAGAAAGCAAGAAATCACCCTCTGGGGGAATGGCCACACTCTAGTCCTTTCTCCTCCATTCTTCTCCTGGCATTTTGGGCATGCACGCACACACCCCTGGCGTGCGTTTTAAGTCACTTGATCTGGTACTCTAACCGTAGTTGATACTGGGAGTCCAGTGATATAGTCATTATACCACCTGTTGGTCCCTCCACTACTTATTAATGGTTTAATTTTAGGTATGTAATTAACTTGTCAGAGCCCTACTATAAGATTAAGAGAAAATACACTTGTCTTACCCAGAGCACATACTTTTTACTCTTTTTGCTGTCAAATGGTTAAAAAAAAAAGAAAATCCACAGCTTTTATAGAGGTATAATTTTTACAGATTTTACCCTTTTATCCTAGAATATTCATATAAATGGAATCATACAGGAAGTACTATTTTGTATCTGTCCTCTCACTTAGCATAATGCTTTGAGTCTCATCCATGTTTTTCCATTTAATTGTGAACTAGTAGTCTGTTGTATGGATATTACACAATTTTTAAGATCGCTTTAGGGACCAGTAGATGGTGTAGCAAGTATGTTGCCGGATTCCCACATGGCCAGCTGTGGTTCAAGTCTTGGACCTGGTGGCTTCAGAATCATGCCAGGTGCTTGTGTATGCTTGCTCAAGATCCCGGGAGGAGAATGGAGGAGAAGGGATTGCAGTGTGGCCATCCCCCCCTGGGGGGTGATTTCTCACTTTCCTTCTCACAGTGTCTGTCTCTCTCTCCATCGAGCCCACATGCCCTAAGACAAAAACCTCTCAAAAAAAAATCTGTTTATTAGTTGATCGATATTTAGATTGATTCTGGTATTTGGCTGTTATGAATAAAGCTATGAGATTTGTATATAGGTCTCAGTATGGACATGTGTTTTTATTTTTCTTATTTACCACTAGGAGTGGAAATTGCAGAGTTGTATGCAGTTAAGTATATGTTTACAACTTTATAAAAAAATGGCCTGTTTTGCATTCTCATCAGCATCAATGAGAATTTAGGTGTTCCACATCTTTGTCCAACATTTGGTATTGTCAGTCTTTATTGACTTTAGTCATTCCAATGATGACATATCTTTGTGGTTTTAATTTGTAATCTCCGAATGACTCATGATGTTTATCTTTTTTTCAAAAAAGAATTATTTAATTTTAGTTATTCATTCACTTATTTTAATTTGACCAGAGAGAGACACACAGAGAGGGAGAGGAAGTGAGAACGCAAGCCACCAGGTCTGGGACTGGAACCATGGTTGGCCATGTGGGATGTCCAGTGCCTTAACCCCCAGGCTACCTGCTGGGCCCATCCTTTTTTTTTTTTTTTTTTTTTTTTTTTTAAGTTTATTCTATGAGTGAGAGAGACAGAAATACAGCACTCCCAGTAGGATCTTGACCCTGTAATCCACCCTATCCTCAGCCAGTTGGATCATGGGCACACACAAGCCTGGCTTACTCAGGGAGGGCGGGCCAGCAGCTTTCCCATGTGGGTCTGCCTCATCTCATCAAGTGTTTCACTTTACGCCTGCTCAGCGACCTGGCCTTAATGTTTGTCTTTTCATGTACTTATTACTCATTTTTATATCTTTGGTAAAGTGCCTATTTAGATATTTTCCCATTATAAAAAATGTTGCTTTTTTGTTTACTGTCAGATTGCAAGGTTTCCTCATGTATTCTGCATATGAGTCCTTAAACAGGTTTTGCAGATTAGATATTTTGCAAATATGTTCTTGTAGTTTGTGGTTTACCATTCTGCTTCAATAGTATCTTTTTTTTTTAAAGAGTTATTTATTTTACTTTGCTATTATCATTGTTATTATTATTATTTTAATTTGACTAGAGAGAGAGAAAAAGGAAAAATGAGAAAGCAAGCTGCCAGATCCAGGACTTGAACTGTGGTCAGTCCAGTACCCTAACCACTGTGCCACCTGCCGGCCCTCAACGGTGTCTTTTTTTTTTTTTTTTTTGGAGAGGTTTTTGCTCTAGGGCACATGCGCTCGCCAGAGAGACAGAGAGAGACAGAAAGTGAGAAGTCACCCCCGAGGGGGGATGGCCACGCCGCAATCCCTTCTTCTCCATTCTCCTCTTGGGATCCTGGGCACACACGCACATGTGCCCGGCATGAGTTTAAGCCACCAGGTCTAGGACTCGAACCGCAGCCAACTACGTGGGAGTTCAGCGACATAGCCATTATGTTAACTGCTGGTCCCTCTAAAGAGCAAAATGTTTTAATTTATATATAGTCTAAGTTATTTTTTTTTTCCCTTTATAGTTAATGATGATTTTCTTTATTTTTATTTCCTTCCTTGAGGGAGGGAGAAAGAGACTGGAGTTAAAAAAAAGGAGAGAGAGAGAGAAGCACTCCAAATGGGTCTGCCTATCCTCATCCTACATTAGCCTCAGCCTGCCCAGATCATGGGTGCACCCAGCATGCAAAAGAGACCTCTAGGTGTGGACCCAGCATGTTTTTATGTGGCCTCAACATCAGGTAGTGTTGTATTACTTCTGGCCAGTTAATGTGTTGTTTTTTTGTTTGTTTGTTTTTTTGTTTGTTTTTAATTTGCTAGAGGGCATGTATGCTCTGCTGGAGAAAGAAAAAGAAAGTGAGAAAGCACTTCAATTAGGGATGGCCATGCTGCTGTCCTTTCTCCATTTCGCCCTCCTTTTGGGATTTTGGGCATGCATGTATGTGTGCATGCACAGTGTGTTTTTTATTTTTGGAGAGGTTTTTGCTACAGGGCGCTTGCACTTGCCAGAGAGAGAGAGAGAGACAGAAAATGAGAAATCACTCCCCAGGGGAGATGGCCACGTCGCAATCCCTTCTCCTCCATTCTCTTCTTCTTTTTTTTTTTTAAAAGAATTATTTTATTTAGCTTTATTTATTCATTCATTTATTTCATTTTTTAAAATTTGACCAGAGAGGGACAGAGCGAGAGAGAAAGAGAGAGAGGGAAAGTGAGAGAGCAAGCCTCCAGGTCCAGGACTTGAACTGTGGTCGGCCATGTGGGAGTCCAGCGTCCTTAACCCCCACACCACCTGCTGGCCCCTCCATTCTCTTCTTAGGATCTTGGGCACGCACACACACGTGCCCGGCGTGAGTTTAAGCCACCGGGTCTGGGACTTGAACAGCGGTTGACTACATGGGAGTCCAGCGACATAGCCATCACGCTAACTGCTGGTCCCCCTCAGTATGTTTTTCAAGCCGCTTGGACTGGGGCTTGAATCATGCAATCAGCCATGTGGGATTCAGCTGCCTTAACCACCTTGCCACTGGCTGGTCCTAGTTTATGCTTTTTATATCTTACCTAAGGAATCATCTCTAAACCTGAGGTCACTAATATTTTCTTTAAAAAATTTATGGGGCCCTCAGGTGGTGTGGTGGTTAAGGGTGCTGGATTCCCATATGGCTGACTGTGGTTTGAGTCCTGGATGCTTTCTTACCACCCCCACCCCCCATCAAATTAAAATAAAATCAATAAATTACATAAAATAATTCTTTAAAAATTCTGCAAGTTTTATAATTTTAGGCTTTATATTTAGGTCTGTGAAACACTTCAAATTAAAGTTTGTAAAATGAGTGAAGAAAGGGCTGAGGTTCATCATGTAGATACCTTTGTTTTTCTTTAAGCAGTGCTTCAGTTGTCTCTCACAAATTGAGCATGTACTACCATTCAGTTAAAAGTATTTTAGGATTATTCTTGTAATGTCTTCTTTTGGCCTATCGATTATTTAGAAGTGTATTAATTTCTATTTGTTTAAAGTTTTTCTAGATATTTTAACTGATTTCTCATTTAATTCCACTGTGGTAAGAGAATATATTCTATAGAATTTTAGTCTTTTTTTATTGAATTATTTTATTAAACTTTATTTATTATTATTATTTAAAAAATATTTCCAGGGGGGGAGAGAGAGAGAGAGAGAGAGATTGAGATTGAGAGAGAAAGGCTCCAGGTCCGGGACTCGAATAATGGTTGGCTATATGGGAGTCCAGTGCCCTTAATCACCACGCCACCTGCCGGCCCCTAGAATTTTAGTCTTTTGAATTTGAGATTTGTGTGACATGTGGTCTGTCATGGTGAATGTTCTGTGTCTTTGAAAAGAACATGTATTCTGTGGATAGATAACAATGATTGATAGTTATCAATTGAGTCTTTTATATCCATATGCATTTTTTGTCAGCTTATTTTATTAGTTACTGAAAGAAGAGTGCCCAAATCTGAAACTACAATTGTGGATTAATTTTTACCAGTTTTTATGTCATGCATTTTGAAGTTCTGTTTCTAGATGTGTATATATTGTATCAGGGATCTTCAGAAGGTTCATGTAAAATGTGTGCTGTGAAAAACTGTGCATGGATTTTGAATTTTTTGCACCAAAATAGTTGTACTTTAATGCCACAAACTTTGTTAAGTCCCCTGGTATTTAGGATTATGTCTTCTCAGTAAAGTCACTCTTTTATCTTTTAGCAATTATCTTGGTATTATTTGCTGTCCCTGAGGCTTTGTCTGATATGAATGTAACTCTTGTAGCTTTTTTGGGGGGAAGAATTATTTTATTTAACTTTATTTCTTTAATCTAATTTGACCTGAGAGGGACGGAGAGAGAGAGGGAGATGGAGAGAAAGAGAGGGAGAGGGAGAGAAAGGGAAAGTGAGAAAGCCTCCAGGTTGAGTACTTGAACTGCATTCAGCTCTGTGGGAGTCCGGCGTCCTCAACCACCATGCCACCTGCTGGCCCCCTGTAGCTTTGTTATTATTAGTTTTATTATATTGGGTTGTCATGCTGCATTTTTGCATAGAAAAACACGTCATGACTTTCCTAACAACCCTAATACATGGTATATCTTTTCTCATCCTTTTACTTTCAGTCTGTCCTTGTCTATATTTGCATTGTATTTCTTGTAATTAGCATATAGTTAGGTTTTTTAAATTTAGGCTGACAGTTTCTACCTTTAATTGTCTTTAAGAGGTTTATTTACCTCTAAGGTACCCGTATGGTTGGTTGGGTTTAAGCCAACCATCGTGCTGTTTTTTTTTTAGCAGTCCCACTTATCCTTTGTTCTTCCTTTTTCTGTCTTTTTTTTGGATTAAGTATTTTGTAATATTTCATCTCCTCTATTAGTATATTAGCTATACTTATTTTTTTCCCCCATGGTTGCTTTAGGATTTATAGCAGGGACCTTTTAACTTACCACCTCTATATTTAAATAATATTATACTGCTTGCTGCATAATGTAAGAACACTATGATAGTATGTCTCCATTTTCCCACTGCCTGTCCTTTTTGCTATTGTCATACATTTTGCTTCTAGATAGGTTTCCTTTTCCTCACTAGAGAGAGAGAGAGAGAGAAAAAAAAAAAGAAAGAGAGAAGAAAAGTGAGAAAGCAAGCCACCAGGTCCGGGTCATGAATGCAGTTGGCCCATGTGGGAGTCCAGTGCCTTAATCACCACTCCACTTGCTGGCCCCCTAGATATGTTTCAGAACTCATATACATTGTTAAATCTGCTCAAAAGAGGGAAAGATATTTTATATTTATCTGAAATCAATCAATCAATCGGTCAATCTATCTATCAATCAATCAGTCAATCTATTTATCTATCTATCAGTCATCTTTCAATCAGCCAATCAATCATCTCTCTATCTTTTCTATCTATTGCCAGAGGGTGCTTGTGTTTGCCAGAGAGAACCCCTTTATGGGGTCTAGTCACACCACAGTACTTTTTCCTCCATTTCTCTGGGGGTAGGATTGGAACTGCAGTTGGCCCTGTAGAATTTACTTACCTTGAGTTGGCTATCTAAATTCTGCAAGGACTGGTTTTACTCAAAGCTTTGTTAAGGCTGAATGCCCAGAATTTAGTTAGATCTTTTTACCCTGGTCAGAACCAGAATGCAGGTGTAATCGCTAGTTAACTTTATAGTTAACAAGTAGTTGCTTACTACCCAGTGGTAGTTCTTTGCCCCACCCTTATGGAATTGCATGCCCTACACGTTCAGCTAGTTTAGAAAAAGTAAAAGGATGCTTTACAAATTACGGCTGCCTCCGCTTTCTGGAACTCATTTGAGTTCTGGTTGAGTTCTGCTCCGCTTGGCGTCCCCGAGTCTCCTTTCTGGTTGGGATTTGGAAAATGCCTGGAAGCATGAATCTTGGATGATCTTAGGGCTCAGGTAACTTGTTTCTGTTCTCCCAGGAATCATAGTTCTGTGCTGTTGTTCAGAATTCAAAAACAGTTGTTTGAGGTATTTTGTCTAGTTTTTTAGTTGTTTACTGTGGGAGGGCTTGTTTGAGAGGGCTAGTCCCAAACAAGTCCCTAAAAGGTTAAATGATGAGAGTCTGTATAATAAAATTGATTGCATCCTATTTTTTAAGCTGATACATTGCATTTTGCAGGCAACCTTTTGCAACTGTCCTAGCTTAGCCAATATTCACGTCCTCATTGCTCATTGTAGGATTTTATGTAAGTTAAGAAATATTCAGCCTTCATTATAGGACGGTAAATAGTACCCTTAGATCTGCTACTTTACCAGTTGCTCTCTAGTGCGTTTGAAAGCCACAAGTTTCTCACTGGCCCCTGTAGCCACAGTAGTTTGAGCTTTAAGATATAATGTTACTAATTAATTATGGAGTATTCTTGTTCTATAATACCCCAACACCTTTAGTAAAAGATTTTGTGTTGGTTCCCACCAGGTGGTATCATTAGAATGAAAATAATTAAAATAAGGCTGGGTTCCAATAACGTGCATTAACAGAAGAAAAATGATTGCAAATGACTGTTTTTCGGAGCATCATTACATTTTTATATTTATTGTTTAACAGTCAAGATATCTCTTATAATTAAGACATTGTTTAGAACTACAGACTTCAGTTTTATTTTCTTGGCCGTGTTATCCCTGCTTTGTTTCTCTTTACCTGAGAGAAGACCCTTCGTGTAAGACTTTAAAAATTCACTGTAATTTGCATTAGAAGATTCAATGTACCTGATAGGCTTTGTAATAATAATGTGTAACTTTCATCTGCCTACTACATCAAGCCATCTCTGTTTACCAGAACTTCTATTTCACTGGAAAAAGGCTTTGTGCCAAATTCGACATCACCAACGGAATCGTTAAAACATTTTATAAAATTATTTATTACTATTATTATAATTTTTTTTTTTGAGAGAGATTTTTGCTATAGGGTTTGTGTGCTTGCTGGAGAGACAGACAGAGAAAGTGCAAAATTATTCCCAGGAGGGAGAGGGATAGCCACACTGCAATTCCTTCTTTGTTCTCCTCTTGGGATTTTCTCCTCTCTTGCAGACCGTCCAGGACTTGAACTGTGATCCACTATCTGGGAGCCCAGGGACATAACCATTATGTTATCTGCTGGTCCCCTGCTATTCTTTTTTTTATTTTGCTATAGGGCACTTGTGCTCACCAGAGAGAGGGAGAGAGAGAGAGGAAGTGAGAAAGTGAGAAAATAAGCTTCCAGGTCTGGGACTTGAACCATGATTGGCTCTGTGGGAGTTCAGTGCCTCAACCACCATATCTCCTGCTGGTCCTGGAATACTTTAAATATTGATGTTAGGAGGACAAACAATTTTCCTTCATTTTTATTGTTGTCATAATTACTAGCCAAACAGTACAGGATTGTAAAAATATTATGTATTTACTTAATAGTTTTTTCTTTGGTTTCCTTTTATAGTTATAATGTCTTGATAAAGTCACCTAAAGGTAAATGAGGATATTGTGTCTGTGAGATGGATGGGTAAAATCTTGTGTAGCTTGAAGATCTGGTAAGAGTAAATAGCATTTGCTAACTTAAATAGAATTTGAATAGATGTCAAGGGATCACTTAATAGAGGGAAGTTGCTGATTTTGAGAATCTGAAATACGTTTTCCCCTGAAATCATCTAATGTCTTATGTTGCTAATGCAGAGAGTTTAAGTGTCTAATTTAGAAAAGCTTAGTAATGCTGGTGTTAGCTGGCTGGAGATAAAGCTGGAAGGAAAGGAAGATTGGGAGCATGATCTGCACTTGAGCTGTGCGTGCTGTTGAGACCTTTAGAGATGTGTAGTTCTTTCTTACACTGATTTCCCACTGTATGTCTGAATAGTATTTTTCTTCTTATACTGAAAAATAAGTCGATAGTGTTAAGTAAGCTTTTTCTTTCTTTCTTTCTTTCTTTTTAAATTTGCTATAGGATGTCTGTGCTCTCTAGAGGGAAGTAGAGGAAGGAGAGAGAGGAGAGAGAAAGAGAAAGAAAGAGAGAAAACATCCCTCGGGGGTGGGGGAAAGACCAGGCCCAATCCTTTCTCCATTCTCTTAGGATTTTGGGTATCCAGGTGCAAACACCTGGCGTTCTTCAAGCTGTTGGGTCCTGGACTATGTTGTATGGGTTGGCCATGTGGGATCCAACTGTCTCAACCATCATGTCTCTGGCTGGCCCTAAGCAGTAATTTCTAAGTTGGTCATCTGATTTAGAATAGTTTCTGTGAGTTCTAGTTAATTTTGAACTTTAAACAACTTCAGTAGTCAGTGGGTGCTCTCTGAAGCATTGGAACAACTTTTTCTTTAATACCTTTGCTTTTTCCTTTGTAGGACTTGGGTTAGGCTTATTAATGCAGTAACAGCTCACCAAGTGCCAGCTGTTCACTGTTACAGCTGTAGGCCAGTGGGTGTAGTCGTGAACAGGATACATGGTCTCTGACCTCATTCAGTTTGTAGCCAATACAGGGAAAGGAATAGCAGAAAATTGTGTTTTAAGTTACTTTTTTGAATCAAGTTGGTAAAACAATCTAAATGGTTAAGACAGTCTTCTACTTTCTTTTAGAGGCCTGGGAGTTTGACCAGAGTCTGTCGAAGTCAATTCTAAGTTAAAAGGGATCAAACCGTATCATATATGTTAAGAGGAAAGGAAATTCTAATGGGAAAAAATATATTGGTTGTGGATTTTAAAAGAGAGAAGTATAAAAATATTATTTGCCTTTAAGAATACAAAGAAAGGACTGTCCATTTATATGGTTGGTTAAATTGTTTTTCTTTCCTCTATACAAGGGACAATCTAGGATAGGGCAGAGATCTAAAATTATTACACTTAATGCTTTTAGGAACAATATCACTTGACTACAGTTTTTCTGATAGTCACTGGGCCATTAACTAAGTTACCTCATTTTATGATTTCTGTCCTTTTTTTCCCTAGGACAGTTTTTTGCTAGGCTCCAACTCTTAATTCTTTAGCATGGTTCATTTGTTCTCTTAATGCCAAAGCTGTACATTCTTAAAAATAAATGGCATTTTGTCTTGCCATGGATTTCTCACATATCTGAAGTGGTTTAAATTGTCCAATACTGTGTATTTTGAAAGTAAAAGCTAGCCAAGAAAGAAGTTTTCTTACCAAGAGGCAAATAAAATCACTGCTTTAAAACAGTGATATATGTTCAGTAAGACCTTCAGCTCTTGAAGTTTAATAAGTATTTCTGGACTATTAATTTATATTCATTTGGGGGCAGGTTTTCAGTCCTGTTTTTGGTTTTTAGGGAGTATTTTTCTAGATTAAACTCGGCTCAGTGTAATTATGCTTCCAGTGTATTTCAGATACGTAACTCTGAGGGTACCAGTTGCTGCCTTTATATGTGCACTGTATTTTACTTGTGCTGCTGCTGTTACGGTTTAGGCAATTCACTTAAAAACTTTAATCGGATAACTCATGAACTCATTAGTTATTCCTCATTAGGAAGAAATATTATTAGAACTCTGCATATTGTGCAAATTAAAGTGAGCCATTCTGCTAATTAAAACCATCTATAATAGGCTAGATGCCTTTTCTGTTTTGGTGGAATCATACTATATAAAACTCGGCCCATCAGGAAATTCTTGGCCAAGATTAAGACTCTAGGGATACAAGGGACCTCAAAAAGTTCATGGAAAAAGGAAATTAAAGTATGAGTTTATTTTGGTGCAAACACTATTGAAATCCATGCAGAGTTTGTTCATAATACACATTTTTCCCGTAACCTTTTTGAAGATTACCCTTCATACAAGGTGCTTATGCCATCTGGATATAGGAATTTATTAAATGGTGTTTTGTTAAATTCTTGTGTGTATTCAGTTTTAGTACCTAAAGGATTTAGAATATTTATTCAATTGAATATTTATATTTTGTATCTATATAATAAAACAGATGTATGGTTGCTATTTAAGCTTTTTGAGTGTCAGGAAGAGAATCCTAGGCAAAGGAAAACTTATCTAGACACAATATTGTGTGTGTATGGGTGGGTAGGTGTTTAAGAATTATTTAACTTTATTAATTTATTTTAATTTGATCAGAGAGGTACAGAGGGAGCCCAATATTATTAAAGTCTATTATGGATAAGGCTTTTTTCTTTTAGAGGTTTTTGCCTTAGGGCAAATGTACTTGCTGCTAGAACAAGAGAGACACAGTTAGAGGGAAAATGAGAAATCAGCTGCTGGGGGAAATGGCCAGTCTCCTCTTGGGATTTTGAGCACACATGCACACATGCCCAATGCGATTGTCAGGCTGCCATGTCTGGGACTTGAATTGCACAGTTGACCATGTGGGATCCAGCTCCTTAACCTACATGCCACCTATAAGAGGGTTTTTTTTTTTTTTTTTTTTTTTTTGTGGGGTTTTTGCTTTTGCGCCTGTGCGAGAGGTTTTTGCTATAGGGCACGTGCGCTTGCCAGACACAGAGAGACAGAGAGACAGAAAGCAAGAAATCACCCTCCAGGGCGGATGGCCATGCCGCAATCCCTTCTCCATTCTCTCTCGGGATCTTAGGCACGCACGCACGCACACACGCCTGGCATGAGTTTTAAGCCACTGGGTCTGGGACATTAACTGCGGTCGACTACGTGGGAATCCAGCGATATAGCCATTACACTAACTGCTGGTCCCTATGAGAGAGTTTTTAATGGCTATGATTAACTCTTTAGATTTTTGTAAGATACCTTTAGGAAAATGTGTATTTGGTTATTGTCTGTTTACTTAGACTTGTCATTTTTAAAGGTATTCTAGCACTTAAATATTTTGGCTGAAATGCTTACATTACAGAATTTGGCAAGTTGTTGAGGGGGTTAATGTGGAATGTGGAGAGTACAACAAATGAGGGCCAAGCATCTCTGGGAGGCACATAAATTGAATTCTCTACTAATAGCTTTTGAATTTT